GGTCTTAGCTTCAAAATTACGGCTTATTTTTTTGGTGTTACATTTCCATTTTTGGAGTTAGAGAAGGATCTACAAGGACAATAAAAAATTGTGGGACTAGGTGTCTTGCACTATATAACCAGAATTTTTTTTGGCAGAATTCTTCAAGGAACTTTGAGAAAATTATAAAAGAAAGCAAGAGCTGGCCAATTGACAAGAAAAAAAGAGAAAGGAAAGAGATGAGCAAGCTTGAAGGAGAAGAAAAAAGAGACGCGAAAGCAAGAGAGAGAAGAAGCGTAGTGAACAAAAATAAAGATAAAAGATGCAAAATGATAAGCTTTCTAATAAAAAAAATATTTCACTGTTGGTGTCATCCTCGAAAGAAAAGGTGAAGAAGCATGAAGTAATAATTTATTAGAGGATTTACAGAGCGATACTATTGATCATGTGAAAATTTGGAGCCAAAATAAAAGGTGAGCCTCGACATGCTACAAGTTGTCAATCTAGTAATTCTAAACCAAATTCTAGTTTAATCTCAACATTAATGGTGGTGCTAATGCTCCCCACCCTTTTGGCAGGAACCGTATTCGTCCAGAAGTGAAGAATTTCCAGAATAGGACTTTGAGTAAAGATAAAGTTATGTGAAATATTATTATCTGAATACAATTGTGACGTTGATTTCCCTGTGTCCATTGTGAAACTACTGATATCACAATCACATTACACGACAATACTTTAGATGGTTTTTATTTTCCATGCTGGTAAAATTATAGAAAATCTTAATATCATTGAATAGTTTATTAAAGTTAATGTAATTTTTTTTTAATATAAGAAAACGACTGCCATGATTGATGAAGGCTTGTGGACTGTGATGACAATTGATACTTTCATTTATGATTTGTACAAATTGTTTGGAAGTTGGCTGGTTTGATAAATTTATATAGATTAATTAATACTTGAAAATTATGAGACTTCCCTTTTCTAATGAATTATTGCATTTATATATAGTAGTACGAGTATCAATTGTTCAATCAACGATTCTATTAGCTCATATGAAGACAAAGGAGACATGGTAAAAAACCTGATATATCTATTTATTGGAGTTATAGTAAAATTCACAAGTGTATTAAAAAAATCACGAAAAGATAGTGCTGATGACAAAATAAAGGAACCACTGGACAAACTCCTTCCCTATAAGTTAAAGATAAACAAAAGAACAAAAGAAAGAAAGTCGAATATAAACTGGTAATTATTTATTATAGTATTGGAAAAATCTAGATAAATCAAAGAGAATAATTTCACAACGATAGAGGAGGGTAATATTCATACAACTAATGATAAGGATTACATATTTATTGTGCTATTATGAAAGTGGATTTTTTTTAATGTTGATTTATATACGTGTTGATCAATTTTTAAATTGTAGGAAATTCAGGCGTGACAAGATAAAAAGTCAGCACTAGGGCACAGAAAGTACTGGGGCTAGACTTCTATTTAATTTTATTTACAATTTCATTAGCTGTCAAAAAAAAGAAGTATTGTATTGTTGTTACACGCATTATAATAAAATATCATATTGTATTCTTTACATTAGCGAAAATTAGAAGCATTCATCCCTAAGCACATAATCCAAAAATCCCAATTTTTGATATTTCTTTAATCTTTTAACCAATCGTAATTTATCCATACAATTATCCCATTCTCTTGAAAACTTTATAAGAAAAGGTGTGGCTCCTTTCCAATTTCTTCTCAGGGTGTTGAATGATGCATTAGAAACGGTCATTAGGTTGTCAAATTTCATTACTTTCAATCCCACAGGTTGTGTTTTTGTCAAAACGTCAAACAATTTATTACCATTCACATTGCTGTGGTCAACTGAACTGAAATGAATCTTTCGTAATTTTCTACAATTTTCAAATACTTGAATCAAAAGTCGTTGATCTTCTATTTGATTTTCATAGACTATTGCCAACTCTTTTACATTTTGACAATGTTGTGCTATTGTTTGAAAGAGAAGCCCATAATTCATCTTGTCTTTGTCATTTGGAACGCCGGTAACCTTCAATTTTTTTAATTTGTTGCCATTCAATTTTAAAAAATTACAAGTGTCCATTAAAAACTCTTCAAATAGCAAATAGACACAAAAATGTTCAATATTTGGTAAAACAAGATTTCTCAAGCATTTGGAGTTGTCTGGACCACATTGGAACGAATTGCCAATATCCAACGATCTTAAATTTTTGAATGATGGAACCGCTTGAATCAAACTGCCAAAACCATCAACATCGTAATCAACAATAGTGTCTTGATGATTAATTACCGCCTCTTTTAGCAAATCAGATTTAAAATTGGTTTGAACAGCGATCAATTTGATTTTTTTAAGTCGATGTTGCGCCCTGATTAATTTTGCTACAGTGTTATTTCCAGCTTCTTCGATGGCAAGTACAATATTGACCATCTTAATATCTCGACAAATTTTTGCCAAGTGTCCATAAATTTCATTGTTAAAGAAGCAACCACCATTAACTTCATGGAGGTGCTCAAAACATTCCTTGAATCTACTATGATTAAACAACCAACCGTCACGTAAATGTACCATACAAACTTTTTTGATGATTGATGAATGATCTAAAATAAATTCAACCAAGTATTCTACAAATGCTTTGTATTTAAAATAATTTGGAATTTCAAACATGTTACCAATTGCAAAAGTTGGTGTGATATCCAATTCTGTGGTGTATTTTGCGTAGTTGTGCAATGGTGGTTTTTTTAATTGTTTGAACCATATTCTTATATCTTCGTCATCTTCATCCTCATCAATACAACTATTCTTCACCTTCCTTTTCTTGGTCAGGAAATCCTTGTCTTCGGCCAATAAGCAATTAATTAATATTCTTACACTTTTGTACGAGTAAAATGGGTTCCGCCATAATATTGGTATGCTAAAGTTGTGCCAGTATTTGTTCACTTGAACGCATTTATAAAGCGAATTATAATCATTTTCAATGTATTGGAATATTTCTAGTAATAGTTCTGGTGGTAAATTCATTTTATGGTTTTTTTTTTTTTTTGGGTGAAAAATTTTTTCTTATTGACGCGTGAAAAGAATTTCATTACTAATATTAATATTAATGTGTTACAGCAATGCGCGTAATTTGTTAAAATTGTTTTTATTTAAACCCCTTTGTACATTTGTACATTATATATATATATATATATATATATATATAATAAAAAAATACATTTGATAATTATAAATATTTCTAATTAAATTAATAATAATCTACTTTTTTTTAATTTTAATTATTACTTAAATGTTGTTTAAACTATTTCAATTTTAGTTTCTTTCACTTCTTTATTACCACCATTCTCAGCCTTTTCACTTTCTTTATCAATAGTTAGAGAAATTCTTTCATTGCTAATAAAACTTTCGTTTTTCTCATTAATTGAAAGTAAAGATCTAACTTCTTCTGTTGAGAAATTTTTAGCATCCAACGCACTAATTCGTTGATTTTCAAATGGATGATTTTCATCAGTAAATACCCAATCATTCATTGTTGGAACAGGATGTGAAGCAATTGTATTAAGTTCATATTTAATTATTCTAAAAATAAAATTTATATATAACAAATAAAAAAGAAATAATAATTAATAATAATATAATTAATTAATTTTAACTTTTTCACATTCTCCGCCCTCTCCTTCCAATCCCCCTCATCTTTTTTCTTTTACTCACCCACAAAAATCATCCAATGGTAAATCATTATCGTCGTAACCAAATGGATTCTCAATCTCGGCGCCTATTCTTTCAATACCAAGCAAAACTACACAAGCAAAGAATACAATAGGAATAGTTGCCCAATGAGCCGTACCCATCAATTGAAAAGGTAATGACAAACAATATATCCAGACAGTCTGAGCCAAATGAATAGAATAGGCAAGAGGAATTGGACTTCTCAACACTCTTTCAAATTGTGATAAACAATCCACCATGGTATTGATACAATTAAGCATATTTGTGGTAACTGGAGCAGTGATTCTATTTTTGGCGGCATTGTCATGAACGTAAGATGATAGGTAAAGACAGATTTCCAATGGTAAGTTGTGATTTACATCAGAGCCACTTTCTTTATCGACTCTCAAATGAGGTTTTGATGTCCTGTGTAACAATTGATCCCATAATGTTAGTCTTTTTCTAGTTGGAACAACTGTTGTTTTTTGATTGAATCCAGGTAATGTAGAATGGATATTGGAAATCAAGGGCCTAATATCATCATATAGACAACCGTCCTCCTCACGTAAAAAATGTTTTGTTGCAACTGCAAATCCTGTTAATAAATTGATTGCGGTTTTTTTCTCTAGTATTATTTTAGTGGTGTTATTGTCATCTATGTGTACCCATATAAATCTTGTGAAATTACGTATTGCCACTACCATAGTAGCCCACAGTCTACGTCCTTCCCAATACCTTATAGAAATATATATATAATATTAATATAAACAATTATATTTATAATAATTAAAACTAGCCAATTAATTGATTACCTATCGTAAGCAGTATTGGTTCTATAGGTAAGCAATAGACCAACCACCAGGCCAAGAACGGTAATTAAAGAAATAGGTATACTAAGATTCAATTGATTGAATTCATATAAAGCGACTATGCCAGCAGAGAATAAGGTGATTATTATAGAAGAACCAATAACATTTGGTAAAACTGAGCCTTTAAGTTTGAATAAATGAGATTTTTGAGATTTATACGGATTATAAACTTTTGGACTCTCGACATGTTTCATGCTATGTTCTAAATCGCTCATTTTTGCAAATTTTTTTAATTAAATTTTAATTTTTAATTTATTTAAATTATTGAAATATTGTTCGAAAAATTTAAAAATTTAATTTTTTATCATTTCACAATTATTTATATATTTTTTACAAAATTAATTATTTGTATTGTTGTGTAATCATTTTCTATTTAAAGATTGGTAGGCGTGCGAGATAAACAATAATTTAAATAATAAACAATGTAATTGATTAATTTTATAATGTATGACGTCAATTATAAACCGAGAAACATTATTGTTACACGTTTGTTTCCTTAAAGTTGCCTATTATTATTCTATTAAGGGAGATGTTTGGTGATTACAATTAAATTTGAAACTTCTCCTTCACGAAAATTCTGGCTTGGTATTATTTTTACCCATACTGTGATTGGTTGGCTTTGAGATGATCCTTCCAAATTTGATCTATATTCACAAACAGTCGTGACCCTGTTGCGGTAGTAGCCTAATCTAATTAATCACATAGTCCTCTTTGTCTTGTTTTTGACATGTTTTTTGAGACATAATAATAAAAATTAGTTGCTATATTTGTCCTCCATAATGGTAAATAAAATTTACGATACTCTTTATGAACTAAATCTAAAACAATAATAATGACGATCGGTTTGACTATATTTTTTTTTCAAACCAAAATGGAGCTTATTCTAAAAACGCCACTAAAATTGATAATTTTTTTTGAAAGTGTGATTCTATCTAGTTAGAACTTTGTCCATAACGCAAACGAGAATTTAACTTATATGTTACGAGTGAGAAGGTGATCGTTCCTGCATATAGTGTAGTTAATATTGACAAACTTTTATTTTATTTTCTTAAAAGGAAAGGTCAATTTTGAATTAAAAAAAAAATAAAACGTATGACACAACATCCCAAGGCTTAGTTTCCTTCATCATATCAACAAAAATGAATTCTACGAACAAAAAGTTCGACGACGACTAAGTGACTTGTATTTTTATATATATATATATATCAATTAAATTATTATTGAGCGACGATGATTTGAGAATACGTGAGTGTCCCCACAATTAAAAAAAAGTGAACCAATAGAAATTACGTAAATATGGTAAATTAAATAATTTTCTTTTTTGGACGACAGCATTTTTTTGTTACATGGCAAATTTTTAATGAGAAAATTCGTTTTGTCAAAAAAATTTACATGTGACTCATAATAGGCCGATGATGATTTTTATGCGTTCTGCATAATAATGTCGCATAATCAAAACTGCATAGTCAATCTTAAACAAAGGAAATAAAGAAAAGGAAACTCTTGGTTTTTACTTTTTTAACTGCATAATAATTTTTTTTGAGTTACATTATAATTAATATTAAGTATTAGTACTGCGGTGATAATCACCACCAGTGAGAAATAGCAATCCCTAATAATAATAATAATATTATTATTATCATTTCTAATAATATAACCATCAATTCTCATAATAAGGAAGATATTTTTTAAACATTTTCAATTTCTCTATATTATAATTATTTATTTGCTGTTCTTCAAATCTAATTACTTTCTTTAAAGCTTCATAAGCTTCTCTTTAATAGTAACCACTGGTTCTTCATTGTCTTTGTCACCATCTTCAATTTGCATATCTTCTTCTAAAACCAGCCATTTCAACAATTTCTGTATCACTAAGAGTATCTTCAATTACAAGTTGTTCATCAATTTCTTGTTGATCAGTTAAAATGGATTGGCAAACTCGTCATCTTCATCCACCACTGAATTTGTTTGTAAACTTTGACCACCTTGGAGAATACTTGTCTTGTCTCAACAGTTCTTTATTGTTGTAGTTGATCACATAATAATAGTCTGCTCCAAATTGAGCTTGAACCTAAAAAATCAATGAGAAAAAATCCATGCAAAAAATATATAATTGAAAGGTTACTGACTTTTTAATATCTACGCCACTTTCAAATTGTCTCAAAACACGCCAACAATAGAAATGTTATATTTTGACAACTGAAGAGGAGTTTCATCATGGTTTAAAAGAATGTGAACTTACATTATCTACAAAAAGTAATGCTTTCCTGTTTTTATTTTGGGAACACTTTATCAGAATGTATCCAAACTTTTGAGTTGTACTTGTAAATTATAAGTAAACTTGAAATATTAATTGTAACAAAACATCTTGGTCTTTTATAATGCCCAATTACTAATGACTTCAATTTTTCAGCACCAGTCTCATTTGCATTCAATGCATTTATAGGTTCAAATCTTGAATCACCTCTTCATTCTTCTGGAAGTAATTCAATGGGAACACTTGCTCCTTTACCATGGAATCTATAAAAGACTTTTGGGTCCATCCATTGAGAAAAGGAAATCATCTTCATCTATTCCTAAAAGATCCAATCTTTTTTTCATTCAATACAACAGCTGATGCTAATACCTGTTCTACCCAATGACTTAAAGCTTGATCAAGCAATGGAAATTTAGGATTTTATTTCGAAATCTACTTCTGGAAATAGAATTAATATCAATACTTGGCCATTTTCTACTTTCTTTCAATATTTGATAATTGTTGAATGACCAATGCCTCCTGGATACTTTTAATTAAAAAAGTACACAATACCTTTACTTTGTTGCTTAGAATGCTTTTTAGCATAAATACATGTTTCTTTTCTAAGTTCATCACTGATATTTTTTTTCTTATATAAAGGCAAATTATACTAGAAATATCACTGAAAAAATGTTCTGGTTCTTCTTATACAGAGTGTCCTTATATATCAAATTGGCCCGTTACAGCAAATGAGTTCTTGGCAAGAGGTGGATTGAGGGTTCTTATATCTGTATTAATTTTTTAATTTCGGTAAAATTTAAATCATTAATATTAATTATATTGTTAATGGTTGTCACCGATTATCCAGTTAATCGGGCGTTGAATATAATAATAATAATAAAACTAAAAATTTTTATCCGCGTAGTTGAATAAATTTTTTTAAATATTATTTTATCCAACATTCTTTCTATTATATATCGAGTAATATGAATACCCAACAGTGTCATTATTAGCTGAAAATATTTATGCATTGCAGCAACTTCTACTCCAAGTAAGTGTCTATTTTAATGAAGCTGGAAACACAATGACAGCCAAATGAACAAAATTGGATCCATTCAGTGGATATTCGATGAATGACTGATTATTCGGGTGTTGAATTTTATTATTATTGATTGACCAAGTACCCAAATACCCAGACAGTCAACGGATACAACCACTATATATTAATATTGTAAATCAAAATAAAAAAAAAAAGAAAATAACAAAAATAAAACAAGAGGTGCGGAAGGTAAGTATGAGCCAAAAAAGGTGTGTCAAAATGATAAAATTATTCAGTTCCGGATCTTTGGATATGATTGGATATTGGCGAAGAAGTAAATCATGAAAATTATTATGAATTAAAATCTTTGACACCGGTGATGGTGAATTTGGATGTCGATGATGAAGGTGGTTGGGGTGATGTGGAAGAGAAGATTAAGATAGATATAAAACTCAAATTGGAGTGGAGGGAAAATACTCAATTAGGAAAAACTAAGAGAAGTTTCTTCATTATATGAAAGGTGAGACACCAAAATCATATCGACTCTGGTTCTTCTTATACAGAGTGTCCTTATATATCAAATTGGCCCGTTACAGCACATGAGTTCTTGGCAAGAGGTGGATTGAGGGTTCTTATATCTGTATTAATTTTTTAATTTCGGTAAAATTTAAATCATTAATATTAATTATATTGTTAATGGTTGTCACCGATTATCCAGTTAATCGGGCGTTGAATATAATAATAATAATAAAACTAAAAATTTTTATCCGCGTAGTTGAATAAATTTTTTTAAATATTATTTTATCCAACATTCTTTCTATTATATATCGAGTAATATGAATACCCAACAGTGTCATTATTAGCTGAAAATATTTATGCATTGCAGCAACTTCTACTCCAAGTAAGTGTCTATTTTAATGAAGCTGGAAACACAATGACAGCCAAATGAACAAAATTGGATCCATTCAGTGGATATTCGATGAATGACTGATTATTCGGGTGTTGAATTTTATTATTATTGATTGACCAAGTACCCAAATACCCAGACAGTCAACGGATACAACCACTATATATTAATATTGTAAATCAAAATAAAAAAAAAAAGAAAATAACAAAAATAAAACAAGAGGTGCGGAAGGTAAGTATGAGCCAAAAAAGGTGTGTCAAAATGATAAAATTATTCAGTTCCGGATCTTTGGATATGATTGGATATTGGCGAAGAAGTAAATCATGAAAATTATTATGAATTAAAATCTTTGACACCGGTGATGGTGAATTTGGATGTCGATGATGAAGGTGGTTGGGGTGATGTGGAAGAGAAGATTAAGATAGATATAAAACTCAAATTGGAGTGGAGGGAAAATACTCAATTAGGAAAAACTAAGAGAAGTTTCTTCATTATATGAAAGGTGAGACACCAAAATCATATCGACTAGTGCTGAGTAGATGCAGAGTGAATATATATATATATATAGAAAAAATGTATTATAATTATAATTAGTATTTTGATATGGAACAAGTGCGGAATATTTTTGGTCTGGACAATAAAAAAGGATAACATGTTTTCGAAATATTACTGTACAAAAGTGGGTATAATTTCTAAGTCAAAGAGTTACACATTACAGTCCTTTTCTGTTGTCCTAAACTTTTCTAAACTGTATGGAAAAATCTATCTATTAATATTCATATTGTATTCTGTACATAATTTTTTATAGGTTTGAAAATTGCGTTTCAACGAATTTATAATTCATTGAAACAAGATTCCCAGAAACAAAGCTTAATTTATTTATACGTGACAAATAGCGTGTGTCAGTCTGAATTATGTTGTTTGCCGCAATTGTTTGGGAAAAAAGTGATTATGGTAATAATTATATTCTTAACTATATATTAAATATGCCATTAAAAGTATAATTTTGGCAACTATTAGTTAATTATGGCAA